TGTACATAAAACAATTTCTTTTTTTTGTTTAATTTTTGGCACGAAAATGAAAATAAAAGAAGAATATACAGTATAGATTCTTTCTATATCATTGATTTCTTCTATTGGTACGTGTTCGTCTACAAAAGTGATACCTCCTAAAGTTGTGTCTGATAAGGACGTGAAGAAAGCCTCGAAGGTTAAGCTGCCGATGGTTGATAAGAGAAGAAGAGGACTATTTACTACTAATTACGCCTGTTACTCCTAATGGAGCATAGGCCGCCGACCATCATTCTCCATCCCACTCTATACTGGGCCTTCTTTTCTAGTTCCATCCAATTCTTGTCCTTTTTTCTCATGTCTATCTCCATTTTCCCGGCGTAATGTGTTCTTTAGTTCTTCCTCTTTTTCCTTTGGCCTTGAGGATTCCATGTGAGGGCTTGCCTTGTGACGCAGTTGCGTGCTTTCCTCAATATGTGTCCTATCCACTTCCAACACTTCTTCCTAATTTCTTCCTCCACTGGGATCTGGTTTGTTCTCTACCACAGAACGTTGTTGCTAATAGTGTCTGGCCAACAGATCCGAAGTATTTTGAGTAGACAACTGTTAATAAACACCTGTGTCTTCTGGATGATGGCTTTCGTAGTTCTCCAGGTTTCCGCCCCATATAGTAGAACTGTCTTGACATTTGTATTGAACATCCTGACCTTGGTGTTGGCTGACAGTTGTTTTGAGTTCCAGATGTCCTTCAGTTGTAAATATGCTGCTCTTGCTTTACCGATCCGCGCTTTCACATCTTCATCAGATCCACCCTGTTCATCAATGATGCTGCCCAGATATGTAAAGGCTTTTACATCTTCCAAATCTTCTCCGTCAATTGTGATTGGATTGGTGCATTCTGTGTTGTATCGGAGAATCCTGCTTTTCCCTTTGTGTATATTGAGACCTATTGCTGCTGAGGCTGCTGCCACACTGTTCGTCTTCTCCTGCATCTGTTGTTGCGTTTGGGATAGAAGGGCCAGATCGTCTGCGAAGTCTAGATCATCCAACTGCATCTTAGATGTCCATTGTATCCCGCGCTTCCCTTCAGACGTTGACGTCTTCATGATCCAGTCGATCACCAGGAGAAAGAGAAAGGGTGAGAGTAAGCAACCTTACCTGACACCGGTCTTTACTTCGAACGAGTTTATCAACTGTCCTCCGTACACGATTTTGCAGTTTAATCCATCATAAGAATTCTGTATGATATTGACTATCTTCTGAGGCACACCGTAGTGCCGAAGAAGTTTCCATAGTGTTGTTCTGTCCACGCTACCAAATGCTTTTTCGTAGTCAATGAAGTTGATGTAGAGTGATGAATTCCATTCAATTGATTGTTCCACAATGATCCATAGAGCTGTGATTTGGTCTGTACACGATCTATCCTTACGGAATCCTGCCTGTTGGTCTCGAAGTTGGGCTTCTAAAGAGGAGGAGGAGGAGGAGGAGAGTTATGTTATCTACATCTACAAAATTCCTTCATTAAACAAACTCAGAATATCAGAATGGGGGGGTATTATAGATGTTATAGTAATTTTTTAATAGTACAAATTCATAAGTCAATTAAAGCTAGACTACCATGGAAAATCTGAAAACACTAAATGGTCGTTTCGTCCTATTATGGGACTCATCAACATTGCGCATCTATGATCCCACCTCGCGAGACCTGATAGGTCTTGAGTTCGAACCTCACGATGTGGGATCTTTGGTAGATAATCCTTGAAGTCATGAGTCAATTGAAGCTAGATCATCATAGAAAACCTGGAATCACTGAATTGATGACCGTTTCATCCTATTGTGGGAATCCTCAGTTGAAAATAGTTCAACAAAGAGAATCCCCTTTTTGATCATGTGATCTACTCAAACTGTATATTAATACACATAGTCCAATAGAAGAGTGTTGTGTTGTTTAACAAATTTCTCAGAAGTTTTTAAGGATTAACCACTGTTATAGCCCAAAGCCGCCAATCAGAAGCAGCGAATTATCGATTGGACTAAGGACGCGTAAAACACGTGCTAGCAGCCTAGAGTCCTGATTGGTCCTGCTTCCCACCTAACCCAGCCAGTTAAGTCCAGTACACCAATCTCAGACTCTGTAATATGAATCATTATATTTCAAACATACTGAGTTTATATACCAATCAAACAGACCACAACGTACCAATAAAATATGAACAACATTTGTATAAGAATTAGCTAGATGTGGCTGTGAATGTTGGAAGCAGTGACTAATAGACAGGGAACAATTCAAGCATTGAAAATCGTATAATAACAGTTCATAGGTTAAAATAAATCTTATGATAAGAGAGATAATATGATCATTGCCAGTCAATGTCGAACTTGATACATATGTACATCGGCTCAAGTTGTTATATGTGGAGCGAAGATTGATGAAGATAACCAATTTATTATTTATTGTAAAATTACAGAGTTCTTTCGTAAAATGTGACAAACTACATATTAAATACTT